TGGTAATTCTACGCGTAGTAATTCCACGCGTGGTAATTCGACGCGTGGTACTCTCAGCGTATGGTAATTCGATCCATAGTAATTCGATGCGTGGTAGTCTCAGTGCGTGGTAATTCGACGCGTAGTAATTCCACGCGTGGTAATTCGACGCATGGTAACTCCACGCGTGGTAATTCGACGCGTAGTAACTCCACGCGTGGTAATTCGGTACGTCATAACTCCACGCGTGGTAATTCGGTGCATCCTAACTCCACGCGTGGTAATTCGGCGCGTAGTAACCCCACGCGTGGTAATTCAGCACCTAGTAACTTCACACATGGTAATTTGAGAAATAGTAATTCGACGTGTAGAAACTCGACATATGGTAATTCCTACAAAGTACATTCCAGAGTATTACTCCTAGTACCGAGGTCCTCAGACCTACGTCCTCATTTTCCTCAGCCTAATCGAACATTTCCCACCGCAAGTACATTAAAGATGGCCGCTAGCTTCAACATGAATATTCAGCGTGCACCGAGCAAATTCTTTCGGCTCGAGAGTCCATATGCATATGCAGTTGACGAAGCCATCGAGACATTAAAAATTTGCGTTCAAATATCAATCACTCCGTATACGATGATGTTTTTACAGCTTCGTAAACCGCGCGTTTCAAACACGTGGCGCGGGAGGAAAAAATTTGTGCGCAAACGTTGGATTTTCGCAATATGCACGACGAGCGCAAATATTACGTGCATCGGGTCAATATTCAATCTTTGTTGTGTAACTCTGCAGAAAGACACGTGTCCGCGAATAAATAGTTAATGATCGAATAATCGAACGGACGCTTCTTAAAAACTGGAACGCGGAACATTTGAAAATCACATAAGTCAAACTCGTAACTCGCTGTTATCGATTACTAGATACATAAATAATTATTGAACGAAGGTAAACAGATGTCGTATATGATCGATTAAAGAGAAAGTGACAAATTTTCGTGAGGCGAATAATATGTATACACGTTTTACATAGTTAATTGAAATACGTCCACTGAATTGTTATGTACGCTGGTACTGGAACACAATTACAATTTTAATTGACCAAAAGTAGAATTCGTACGACGTTGTTTATCGAACGTACATCCGTGTCACCGGCGTCTTTGATAGTCTTATACCTAATTCAGTAGTTCGCATTTTTCCGTAGATTTTCACATTTCACGTTTACTTTCGAACGCGCCACTGTAATACAGATTAGATTTCGAAGCCATCTGTTCACATAGTAATTTCGCGCGATTTAACGAGTTTCCTGAGAACTGTCTGTTCTCCATAGTGTAGCAGACAGCGGATTCATTATGCGGGACACGGAACATCGTTTGGCATACTTTGATTCCCGTGGAGAGCCAAAGTCTTTAATTGCAAGCAAATATCGGTCGATTTCGATCGGCTACCGCCTGACCATTCTAATGAAAATTACAACTAAAAACGTACGATTTTTCCTTTATTTACGAATAGTATAAAAAAATTACATTCTGTTTATATACGTATATCCTATGTGTATTAAAAATTTACTTCATTCATAAACAACAATTTGCACTCTTACAAGTTTCATTCTTAACACTTAGATTTTATATTAAGCTCGCGGAAGTTGTGTGGAAACTATAAATGTGCGATCTTATATGTACAAGCTGATGAAACGAAAAATACTTAGTGAGTTGATTTGGGAACCGGATGGCTGGGGGTGAAAACTTCGTAGTCTACCACGGAAAAATGATAGTCTCCCATCAGCAGAGTGTTGGAAGCGTGTTCACCCTCGTAGCTGTGGGGAAGATTGCTATAACTTTCCATATTCACGTTGCAGTTACTAGAAATCAGTAAGTCAGCTCCTGCTCCAAAAATTGGTCCAATACTGCAAGAAGGTTAAAAAGAATATCAGTTTACAAAACATATATTCTATACTTCCAAATGAAATGATATTTACTCTGGATGATAACATATTGCAAAAGGTTTCTTGACAATGTCGTATTTTGTTGGGGGTACATCTTGGTTGTTCGTTAACGTGAACAAAAAAGCCTTCTCTGAGAAGATGTAGTGTCCCTTAGCATTCGTCTTGCCCCATGGCGCATCGCTGAAACCCCCACAAATTTCTCCTCGAGTTCCCTGAAAAATAATGCTAAGCATTATCCATGAATATGTCACATGTTAAAATCACTTACCAATGCAATTACGTATGTTGGGCAAATCCCGTCGCAGTGTCGGTGAAACGATGCTGCTGAGTAACCATGACTAGAGGCTCTGAAACGCATTAATAACTCCATTAGTTATAACTAATATAATTTAGGAATATACATCCTGATATAAGACATGTTTTGTTATAATAAACGTACCGATATACCAAACGCCAAGTCTGCTTAGGTGATCCATACCACTGATTCAGAAGACGTTGGAAACCCATTTTGTCTCGAGACAAGATCTGTGACCCAGGAAACAGTAACGGACTAACTCTGGGTTGTAGCCGTTTGTCCGCACAAATTTCTGCATACTTGTTCGGGAGCGCTGCGTACCTATACCTAAAACAAAATGTACAAATCGAAAGCCTCGAAGAAGAAGGAAACTTCCTGGCAAATCATACCTTGTGGGTTTTGAGCCACTTGATCGATCGGGATTGAAAAATTCGTACCTCTCCAAGGAAAGTTCTATGGGCACCGCTCCCGTCGGTTCTACTTCCTCGGCAAACACTTGACTGTCGATTAGCAGCAGGCGAACATGATTTATCACTCCTGATAAATGTTGGCAAACCCTCACACGTTCCTCCTCTGTCCAGTGTTGAGTAGGCTGCGTCACCCCTGCCTAGGAGCGTCGTCCGTACGGTTAAGCGTTCCTTAACTCGTAATTCTAAATTCCGATCCAAGAACCTAAGGACCCAAGGACCCGGTAATAATCGTATGGGACATAAGGTCTAAGACCTTGTACGACATACGCACGGTCAGAGCGTTAAGCCTTCTTGGAGTTTTCAAGGGAATCAAAGTACTCGGAAACGGAATAGAAGTTTTCAAGGAAAAAGAACCTGATATTTAGCCCAGTTCAGCACCGCTCTCCAAACATCCTCTTCCTCCAATCCCAGATAGTCTGACGATATAAGCTTTACCAATGCATCCTTCGGAAGGTTGCAAAATGCAGTTGTTTTGACTATGTCTACAGCATTTTCTCCAATGTAGGCAAAACATCTCTCGATGAAAGAAGAACAAGCCCCTTTACCACCTAAAGCAGAAAATTATAAAGTTATTCTCTTTAACTTAAATATTAAAATACATATTTGTAATCTATGATAACTTACAAGGACTTCAATATGCTCTGAATTGTAAATATGAAACAAAGGATCGAATGTGAAATATAACTACAAGAAGAAGACCATTTGACTTGATTCAAAAATATTTATTAAATGTACAATCTAATTCAAGTTATGTTACGCTGTTCTTCAGTCACATATTTACATGCACGGTTCATGGTAAGAAATAGTATAAACCTGAATATAGTTTGATATCATTTACATATAGTCTTTCATTGAACAAAGTACAATCAATTTAGATACAGCCCGTAACGTTCGAATGTTTTTAGATTCTTCTAATTAAATTGTTCCACTACCAGATTACGATAACAAATACATCTTCTGATGGAGAATAATACTGTCATTTCAACATGACACCGATATTTTCAGTTACAAATTGTGCCTATCAATTTGCAATTCTTTATCCTAGCAATTCTGAATTAGAAGTCATATTTGAAACTCTTCGGATATTAATGTTCTCCACAGTTAAAGGTTTACAAGTCACTTTTCTTAACCTACAGTTTATACACGCGACTTTCTCACGTGTAATCTTCGCACAAGGTACAAAACAATGTTAGTATTCATCCTATACAAAACGTCCTTCGAGGTTATGGTGCGAAGTTTAATTTGCTCCTGGATTCGTATTTTGTATTAATGTTATATTGTCGCCTTTCAACATAATCCGCCCAAGTGGTTTTCTGTTTTTGGTCTTCAAATGGTATTCCTCCGCATCGTCCAGCACCAGATTCATGTATTCATCGAAACCAACGATGTGTCCTTCAATCCGGAGGTTAATGTTCTCAAATAACCAAACTTGCACCCGTGAACGGTTTTGTAGATATCGAAATATAAGGTTGATGGGTTGTACCATCACCTTCTGAACTTTCTGTGGCCCTTTGTATGACATTTTTCTAATAGTTTTCAAAAATTAACAGGCAGTGTGTATACACGCGTGCTTAGTAACTGCCGGACGCCGGAAGATGTGGCGTCATAGTCGTACCAACTGCAATATTTGAATTTCGTTTCACTTTTTTTTTCTGGAGTTGGTAGAGGAACTTGTGTATTGGCATCACTGATTCACGGGTATTTTTATTTATTATGTAAATGTAAATAATTTCGTTATTTTGTTATATGTAAAAGTGTTGTGCGAATAAAAATGTTGACGATTGAACGATTGATCAAGGAACGTTCCTGAAAGAGTACTACTGGTGCCATCTGGTAATAAATGACGAAACTAAAAGTTTATTCCGCTAGTTTCGAACTTCATCGTTATATGACGCTACTGGTACCGTTTTGAAATTGCGCAAATATAAAATTTATAAATACATAAAACCAGTATTTGCACAATACATTTGACTTAAATTAATTATTTTCTAGAAACATGATACTTCTGTTCAGCAGTAATATTTTGCTTTAAACATAATATTTCATAAACGTCAAACATTGTACATCTTGCCAAATCCACGGCTTTTAAAATTAATATATATGACCCAGATTCTCCAGCACTTCAGTAATTTTATAAAGCTCCCGGCTGCTTAATATTTAAAAAACTGGTTCATTAATACACTTCATTTGAAAAGACCGAAAACCAACAGCATCCACCTTGAATTTCTCTTCAGCCGCTTTATTGTGACGAAAGCGGAACAGCAAGTTGGAGAATAGAAATTTTGCTCGGTGCATAAACTTTGAATAGCAGCTCGTGAATAACTTACCAGGAACTCGCTCTTGGGCGTCCAGAGCCGCAGTCAAAAGAGCACACGCGTTTCCGGGGCTGAGAGTGGCAGAGACGTGTTCCTCGCAACTTCTTCGAAGTTCCTCGACACCGAGTTCGTGAGCGAGTCCCAGCATCTCGAAGATGCCACTGTCCTGCAGCATGATCTACGGTAAAGTTCAGAGGGTGAAAACTCGGTCGTGCCCTTTGGTAAACTTTTATCAGCGGTTCTATACATTGCAACTCTTAAACTTGTGAACACATCTGAGAGGAGGAGAGCGCATCTTAGAAAATTTTTTACGTCAATTTAAATTGCTACGGATCGATGTACGGTTTGTATGTACTCAATGCAGAGAGTCTTTAAATTAAATTTTAGTAGATTTCTCAAGTCCTTAAATTAAATTTTATTAAATTTAATTTTTAGATGAATAAATTTTAAAGTGTTTAAATTTGAAGATTTTCGAATGTTAACACCTGAACGCTGACGTGAAGGAAAGTTCAGTGACTTGATAAGAATTGACACCGTATCGAGTAGCACTTACCTTGCCGGTGTAAATGTAATGAATGAACTGTCGAAACGTTTCCGAATGAGCGTGCGGCATACGCACCGGTGTCGGATTGCCAGGTGTCCCGATCCTCTTGGCAGCCGTGAAGTTCTTGCACCTGAGAAATCAATCCAACGATATCGATTCTTAACGATAATTACCATGATAGGAACGGATACGGCGATGTAAGGGAGACAATGAAAGAGGAGCACCTCTTTGAATCGTGCGAGCGTAAATGTGCTGTGGGTGCGTGGCCGTTCTCTAACGAACACCCACCACTTCGCCTTCTCTACTTCTGCCAGTGTTTCTTGTTACAAAAGGGCTTAATTGACTTCGTCAGGAAGCTCCGTTGCCACGAGAGTATTCGTAACGTACGCGGTCGTGCTTTAGTTTTACGTTCCTCTAGAAATTAATGGCAACCTTCGAACAGTCACTTCTCAACCCCTTTTTGCACTCCCTACGGCGAACTCCGCCAGAACTCGAGAACAAATTTTTTACTGACACCACGAGCTGAAAGCGGATCCCCCATGACCCATTGGGAGAACATTCGATCCTGGCTTTTCTCTCCAGCGCCGTACCAACCTTGCGCGATACTAGATACACAAAAGGTGAGCTTTTAATATCGACAAGTCTAGAAACGAACAGTACGCTTTTCTTTATCCCTGAATCGTCGGTGTATTTCATGTATGTCTTTTTTCTTAAAAGCTGCTGTATGCGGCGTGCATTATTCCAACGACCCTCTATCTGTTCATCCACTTTTTGCTCTACCCTATCGTTAACACTCCGGGACCAACAAAGCACTTCTATCTTCAAATAATATTTATCACTCTTCAGTCATCGTGAAAAATTTTCTAATTTTCTATTGATCACGAATTCATAAAATTCTGATGTATTAACAGAGAGGCTACCATAGATAAAATAATGAATCCTTGCAGCGATCCTTGCACTTCTACCGCGATCTTCGTAACAATAACAGCTTGCTATAAGATATTTTATTACGACAGCTTCCCTCGCGTATATTTGACTGACGATGTGCGATGCAAAGGCCCGCAACCGCCAGAGAGAAATTCCCGATACACTCGAATATGTTTCCCTCTAATTTGCGAGCATAAATGTGGAGATTATCGCTTTGACATTATGCGCAGCCCGCATCGTTTCCGAACTACACGCGAAAGCATAAAGCTCGAGTTTTCCTTCCTCCTCTTTTTTTTCGTCCGTTAAAAGTCGACCCACCAAGCCATATCCGCATCTGTGCACGTACTACTTCCTTCTCCAGCGTGTTTTTAATTTTTTTGAGCACTAGTTTTCCTCTGTCGACTCGGCAACCATGTTTCATGGGTCGACCGTGATTTTTTTTTCCAACTTTTCCCGCTCTCTCTCCCGTCGACGAAGCCGAGCGTTTGTTAACGCGTCGGTTATAATATCAAAGCAGCACGGTGCATGCCTTTTCCATTTGCGCTCGCTCTTTGACGGATTTTCTTTTGATTCGATACGAACTCCCCGTGCAAGCTTCATCCCCATCCCCTTGCACCCCTCGTTCGCAGCTCGTGCCACGACCTCTCCTTTCGTTTCTGGCACACGAAATCTTTTTACGTTTCACGATTTAGAACGACAGGTACTAGAAGCCGAGCTGCTTTTTGTCACGAGTGTCTCCGGGTATTCGACGAGCTCGTTTGAGAATTTACGCGCTTTTGCGATCTGGAGGCCTCTGATCTTTGATTTCTTCTTTCTTTCGCGCCAAAAACGCCTCCTTCCTTAACTTTCGGCACTGCATCGGTTTTGATATAATTCAAGAATTGATAATTCTTTGATGAAAATTGGGGAGCAATAATTTTAGAAGGGTGGTCCAAGTGAAAATTTCAAAAATGTTCAATTTTTCACCGTCTTATATAATAGTGCTGATAAATAATCATATGAGAGTAACAAATTATTATTCTTAAGTGTTAGTTGTTTCCTGTTAATTCAAACAGAATATCGTACAGGCTTATGTGATTCTTCCAATCAATAAATTCAGAAATAATTTTATTAATATCTTTAGAAGTGCATGTACAGTTAGTAATTTATCTTAAAATTTTTAACTACTTCTATTAATAAAGACTTTAATAAAAAGACTATAAAACCTGTGAAAGATTTTTGAAACAATAAATTCAACACATAATGCCCAACTCGATAGTAGACAAAACCTTGAATTTACCTTTAAGAAGATAAAATAAATCGATAATGAGTGCATTTAACCTCATCACACATTTCTGCCTAATCAGAGCTTGGCAGAAATTCGAGCGAGGTTTGAAGAGCAGCCATCCGAGCACGTAAGACGCGAGTAGTTTGAAGAAAAGCGACCGCAATATCAGAAGGCAAGAGCTGGCAAAGAAGGGAAAAAGGAAGCATCAGGAGGAAAAATCAAGGTACCTCCGGGTGTTTGGTCGTGATGGATGGTACGCGAACGAGGCGAACAAGAAGCGGCGTGTGGAGAGGCGAAAGAAGGGGGACAGAAAGGAGAACGAAAAAAAAAAGGAAGAAGAAGAAGAAAGAAAGAGGAAAGGAAAAGAGTAGAGAAAAGTCGTGGAGTGAAGCTTTTCCCTAATCACAGGCGAACGCCGCAGCGGAATCAAAGAAAACCAAATATCAACGAGTGACGCCGAGAAAAGAATAGGGCAGCTCGCGTCTGGTGTGACGACGAGGTGTCACGGGGGTGGTAACGTAGGTTCACGAGCTCGACGCGGAAAGAGGATGTTAGGGGGGTGAAAGAGGGATAGACGGTGGCGGGAAACGAGGGTCGTGGCTGCTTGGTTTTACGGCGGCAAGGGTTGAATGTCGCCGCGGGCTCCGCTACTAACGACCAAGCGTGTGCGATTATATAGCGGCTCCGTCGATCTCCGTGCAAAAACCGCCTCCGTTTCCGGTGCACCAGAGGAGTCAAATTCCCGCCACACCTCCCCGTTTCCCGTACCCGCTGAAAACGACTGCTTCTCTACGCGGTCCATTATCGGGAGCCCGCTCTCCGAACCTATGGTATCGTCGAATGCGTAATTACCGAGGGAAAGTGTGCCGATAACGAAGCCTCCTTTTTCAATCGGAAGCTCTTTTTCGACACCGAGAACTTTGTACAACTGATCGCTCTCCGAATCGGAAATTCTTTGTTAGGACAACCGTGATCTAATTTCATCCACAGTGGATTAGAGCCTCTTTTCAGTTTAAATCGAGTACAGTGAATTAACGGACAGTGATTTTCTTGCAGATAAAATGGAAATTTTCGCGTTTTGCTTTCGTTGCGAGATCTTTTAATTGCGATACGAATTTATTTCAATAGCAATGTAACTAGATTGCAAACGCATATTTTGTAATGTATTGCAAAGTAATATAACAGTCTGCAAACTAAACATAAATCCTTCGCTCATTCAAATAAAATTAAACCATAAATTATTTATATGTATTTATATTATAATTTATATAAATTATTACATCCATAATTCTTCGAACCGCCATTTTACAGACAAAGCACTCTTCCTTGACTTACATAAATAAAATTGAGACCACAAAATATTCTCTCAATTTTCATGTTTTGCAAGTTTTAAAAATTTCATGCAATTTATTTTCTTACACGTACGGTCCCTAGTCGGTCAAGAAAAGAACTGACTCTAGGGTGTAGTTTGTACAACTTTCTTTTTCGAGCTATATGTCGAATAATCTTCAAGAGACTAACTCGATTTGATAACAAGGAAAGAGAAACATGTATGAAGTTTTCAGGCTCCACGGAAAAATGTTCCACATTTATAATTATTTTTTCACGACTTGATATCTGTTCAGAGTAAACAAGAGGGTGCAACTATGTCATGCACATGGTTGCACTTCAGAAATAAATATGATCTTGAAAATGTTTTTTAAAATCTTGATTGTTCTAACAATCGTTATATTTTTCTCTAATATATCTTTTTAAATACTTCTTCTAATATATCTTTTAAATAGTATTTTCAAGCAAAGATAGATTAAAGGACCCGATTTTAGAACTGACAACAAGTTTTTCGAATTGACCAAATCCTACCAGTATGAAGCTTGAATTTTAATTTAAGCAGATATAAAAGAATTTCTTTTAGTATCCACGGCGGGCAGCGAGCGAAATGAGCGATGTTTATTAGATAAATAAATTGAAGCGCTTTTAATAAGCCCGCATTACCGGTATCAGTGGTAACCGAAAGGCACGTAGGCAACGTACTCCTTGAAGTGTTAATAGCGGTCAATTCAACGCGGAATCCGATAAAAAGGACGAGTAACGAAGGGATTACGTTAGCGAGTGCCATTGAATGGCACCGGAGCCTGAGCTTGTTTTTTCAATTTCCTTTCTCTCGTTTTCAAGCATCGTTCTCGTCCGCGTCGCGTTTCGAAATGACAAGGATTACAAGAGGCATAGAGAACGGAGGAACGGTGGGGTCACCGGGTCTTTGTCAGGATTTTCAGCGAACCGAAGAGCACCGCGCAGAGTTTCGAGTGCGGTCGCGTATTGTCCATTCGTTCCTCCTACGGACGCCTGTCACCAGCATGCGTAACTTAATTTTCCGAGGCTACAGATGGAAAAGAGAGCTGACAACAAAAGAACCAACGACGAACCGCCCACGCCATCGTATCAAAAGGTTTCACCGAGATATCGTAATTGACTTTGCAATTAGCGATCTGCGGGTACCCGACATTATACGATTGCCTCAGGAATTCGGGTGGGATCGGCTGGGAAAAGCGGATTTATATGTTCTCACGTTTCCAAATTTAACTCTGCGGGTCGGAATCTTCAAATTTTCTGAATTTTCAAATTTCCCTGTATTTCCGATTCCTGAATTTAAAAATTATTATATGTAGATCTAAATGTGCAGATCGCCAAATTCTTAAACCTTGCAATCCCTAAATTTACAAATCCTCAAATCCTCAAATCTCTAAGTCCCCAAATTTTTGAATTCTCAAATTTGTAAATTCCCATGTCGTCAAATGCGCAAATCCCCAAATCCCTGAATACCTAAATCCCAAAATTTCTAAATCCGCAAATCTTCAAACTCTCAAGATCCTAAGTCCTCAAATTCTCTAACCCCAAAACCCTCAAACCTCCAAATCCTCAAATCCTCAAATCCTTTAACCCCAAAACCCTCAAACCTCCAAATCCTCAAATCCTCTAACCCCAAAACCCTCAAATCTCCAAACCACCAAATCCCCTAATCACTAAATCCTCAATTTCCCAAAATTCCCAAATTCCCAAATTCCTAAATCTCCAAAATTTGAACCTTAAAAATTAAAAAATCCCCAGCTCCCAAATTCTCAAATTCCCCAAAATTCCAAACTCCCAAATTCCAAAAGTGTACCACCCTGTCCCGAAACATTTCCGTGCACCCACGCGACCTCACCCGAATGTTTCCGACCGTGACCCGAACGGTACCCGACACACGAGGACCACACGTCCCCAATAATTAACCTGAAACGTAAGACAAAGGTAATCCCGTAACGTGACACGCGTCCTTGCGACAATTAGTATTCTGTCCATCTAAAAACACGGCCGGTAATCCGAGACCGAATCGTAGAACAAAGTGCTTTTCTCTTATTGTCCAACTAATTAGAACGTTCAATCGATTCATTTCGCCGTAACAATCAGGGGCTCCTCTTAATTAAAATTCATCGCCGCTACGAACTCTCCGCGATGGAGGAAACTTTGATGACTTGGCGATTCTATTTCTCTTTCTCCGTCTGCTCGAACAAGAATTTTCATCGAGTTTTCACCGATCGAACTTGTGTTTCGCGAGTCGAGTACCCTTCCGGTCGGCTACTCTTTTCCTTTTCTTGCGGAACGAACGCGGGCATGGAGCAAGAGGGATAAATTATTTATACATCGTCGGTGACTTTGGAAATTTAACGAAGTTATCATTTCCCTGTCGTTACGTTCGTTTGCGATTCCACGGGGAACATTAAGTTCCGCCATTTTCTCTTCGGTCGAGAGAAAAGTTTCTTAACACGGTTACCAACCGAACCTGAGGTTCGGAGCAATGACCTCAAGCGTAAAAACAACGACCTGAAATTTCGGTGATATTTAGAAGAAATATTTCTTGCACGACAAAATTGGATTTCTCAAATGCCACGACGCGGAAGTTTGAATCCCTTATTCAATAATTAACCCTTTCGTGACCTGCGGGACATGGACGTCACACTTAACTTTTTCAACCCCAAGGGCGCGATAAAACTTCGATTCGTGTATGTACTATCTGATAACACGGTCAAGTACACTCGAGGGCAAATTTGGATGCCCTGGGGAAAATATTGTAACCAAAGAGAAAGATACCTTCACATATTGATATTTTGTATATAAGAATTCTGAGACTTAGAAATTTAGTGACCTGAAAATTTGAGAACTTAAATGTATTGGGCTATCTGTCTCTATCCAGTGACCTATAAATGTAGAAATTTAGAAATCTAAGAACTTGGATATCTAATCATCAGTATTCGAGGACTTCAAATTATGTAAATTTCAATATGTAAAAATTAGCAAGCTACAAATTTAAAGTGTGAAGTTTACATATGTCTCCACATAAATCCCATGTTGTGCCTGAGTGTACATTGCTCGATCTTCCACTTCCGATCTCGTAGTTTCGTGTTTAATTAATTAATCCTGTCACGTAAGGGTTAAAACTCGCACGAAGGGTCTCCCTTAATTTTTCCTATAATTTAACCTCGAAATCTTGTACAGAATCTTCGCGACTGTTAACCTAGCAAAACTCGCGACCTCTAAAAGAGCATCAGCGTAATTTACCATCATCGATGCCCTCGACGAATGGATATTCTATCCTCGGCTCACACAATGAGACAATTTATACTATTTTCTTTTCCTTGCCGATGTTTTCCCGCGCCCCCGGGGACGCGAAAGGGTTCGACGCGTTTCCACGAATGGGGAGCAAGCGAAGTCGGAAATTTTATTACCGCGAGACGCGCCACGGGACCCGATTAATTAATTGTTAATCGTAATTTTTATTAAAACAGCCACGTCGATGCGTCGCATCGATCGATTCACGATCGAGATGGATTTCCTTGGAGACACTGGGGAAAACGTTTCGAAGGAAATCACGCGGGAGACGAGTCGTGGAAAACTGCGCGTTTTCTACGTACTCGTGAAAAACGCCACCTCGTGATATCGAGACAATGCATCTCGACGTCTTTCAGAAAAATTGCGAAATTTATCGTCGGAACGTGAGGCATTATGCTATCTCTGCCAAGAAAAACGTGCCAGAAATCGGACCAAAGTTGGATCTCTTATATGAGGTGGGTCAATCATTTTTATTCTAGTTGGCAGTTTTGGTAAATTTATAGAAATTAATTGTGTTATAAAGCTGTGTTCGAAGAGATACACTTATGCAATTTACCCTTAGGTACCTAGATATTAATTTAACTTTTTCAATGTTAATATAATGTATGTATTTACATGTATGTATTTACATGTATGTATTTACATGTGTATGTAATTACACGTATGTCAATATATGTCATGTATGGCCATTAAAAATATAAGTTCGTAAAAGATGACCTATGACACTGTTCTTGAGATGACCTTGGTTTAATTTTGAGTATCCCAATGACCTTTGAACCCCAAAACAAAATATTGAATATATGTCACGTATGTACCTTAAAGGTTTTCGATCCGCATACACTCGATACTTTATCCGATTTCAGGGGTGTAACGAAATCGAGTACTGACCTCGCTTTCAGGATAATTCTGTGAGCATACACCGGCGTCTCGTCCCGACCTAGCAGAAAGACGATGTCAGCTGTATCTTTGTCCTCGGAAAGTCGAGCCAGGTCCTCTAGAAGTCTGGGTACACCAGCTAAACCAGCCTCACCGGATACCCCTGCTGCTCCTGGTGCCGCCCCCACGGCAACCGCTCTGGTTCCCATGATGTTTCAATTCAAAATTAACTGCGTGAGAAACAAAAACGGTGTGGTTAATCACGAAGGGTTAGTAGTTTCTGAGACATCTGTTTCGAATATCGAAGTCGGTGTTGACACTTTTATCTCTCTGTGATTACTTGTTAATCTCTAGATTGTGATGTATTTAGTGCTGATACGTGAGAAGTGAGAACATTCTGTTGTATAATATTTATGATTATCGTATGGCATTATGGTATTATCGTGTATGTTCATGCAAATATTGGCGTCACATTATTTCAGTCTCGATTCTTCAGTTTTCTCAAACAAAATTAATTTCACCATTGAGTCAAGATTACTCATCCAATGGACATAAATACAGCAATTTTACCTAAACGACAAGAACGTCAGAAACAATTTTAATTAATCCTCTACCGAATCCGTATATCTATTGCAGAGCACTTGTGAGCAAAGAAAAAAGGAATCACCGAAGATCAATTAAGGCAGCAGCGGTATCGAACGAATCGGACAGAGTTTGCGCAGGCGGCGATACAAGCAATTGGCGATAATCCGAAATTAATGGGGCCGCAAACAGGAATAAACCGATGATCGAGAGCGGGGGTCGCGAATGGCGGGTCGCGTGTGTCATCGTCTCGAACGTTTTCCGGTGGCATCCGCGGCCGTGTAACAGCAGGCTGGCAAACCAGGCGTGGAAAAAAAGCAAAACCGATTAACGCACAATCGGCGCTAATTGCACGATTAATATTTGATTTGCACCGCGTCGCGACGTGTCGCGTCGTCGTCGGATCTCTCTCGCGGCGTC